TCACAAACTTCACGGATGCTTTCTCTTCAGAGATTGAATGATTTCCCACTATTTTCACAGCTCGGTACTGTGAAGTACTTTAGTTACATAAGTGACGTTTTAGCCATAATTCTGTGTTGCGCTGTATACGTGAACCGACATTGGACTGCCCTGCTTCCCAAAGAACATGAAGCTTATCCTGCTGTTCTGCATTAAAAACCTACACTTAGAAACACAAATCATGCAGTAGAAAGAAGCAGCTCTCCTCAGGGCACTGGAGTCTACAAACGTGTTTGTGGCTCTTTGCCCATAGGAACGAAAGGGAGCAAGAACAACGTTCTGCAGGTTCTCTGCATCTCCAGCTGGAAAATTACAAAATTCAGGGCTGCTTTCCCTTAGGAGACTGAATATTTTGCCACTCTTTTCACAACATGGAACTATGAAATACTTTCGTAAAAAACTGACATTTTGGCCAGAGTTCTGTGTTGCGCTGTATACAGGAACAGGAATGTAGTGCCCTGCTTTCCAAACATGTTGGGGCTTAGTTGTCTCTTTTGAATTAAGAACAAACAATTAGATACAAAAATCATGCAGTTCAAACAAGCAGCTCTCCTCAGGGCACTGGAGTGTAGAATAGTGTTCGTTTCTCTTGTCAACAGGAATGAATGGGAGAGAGAAACACTTTCTGCTATTTCTCTGCACCTCCAGCTGGAAAGTTACAAACTTCACAGATGCTTTCTCTTATGAGACAGAATGATTTGCTAATCTTTGCAGAGCGCACAACTGTGAAGTGCTTTTGTTACAAAAGTGATGTTTTAGCTACAGTTCAGTGTTGCACTTTATACAGGAACAGGCATGGAGAGCCCAGCTTCCCAAGGAAGCTGGAGCTTAGCTGGCTCTTCTGCATTAAGAACTTACACTTATAAACAAAAATCATTCAGCAGAAACAATCTGCTCTCCTCAGGTCACTGGAGTCTAGAAAAACGTTTGTGGCTCTTTGCCCATAGGAATGAATGGGAGAGAGAACAAACTTCTGCAGTTTATGTGCACCTCCAGTAGTAAAGTCACAAACATCACGGATGCTTTCTCTTAGGAGACTAAATGATTTGCTACTCTTTTCACAGTGTGGAACTGTGAAGTTCTTTAATTGCTAAAGTGACGTTTAACCCATTGTTCTATGTTGTGCTGTATACAAGAACTGGCATTTTAGTGCCCTGCTACCCAAAGAAGCTGGAGCTTAGCTGGCTCCTCTGCCTTAAGAACTCACACTTAGAAACACAAATAATGGAGTAGAATGAAGCAGTTCTCCTCAGGGCACTGGAGTCTAGCAAAGTGTTTGTGGCTCTTTGCCCATATGAATGAAACTGAGAGAGAAAAACCTTCTGCAGTTTCTCTGTACCTCCAGCTGGAAACTCACAAAGATCACGCATGCTTTCTCTTATGAGAGTAAATGATATGCCCCTCATTGCACATGCGCAGACCTGTGAAATACTTTATTTACAAAAGTGAAATTTTAGCCAGAGTTCTGTGTTGTCCCATATACAAGATAATGCATTGGAGTGCCCTGCTTCCCAAAGAAGCTGGAGTTTAGCTGGCTCTTCTGCATTAAGAATTCACTCTTAGAAACAGAAATCATTCAGTAGAAACAAACAGCTCTCCGTAGGGCACTGGAGTCAAGAAACGTGATTGTGCCTCTTTGCACTTAGGATTGAATGCAAGATAGAACAACCTTGTGCAGTTTCTCTGCACCTCCAGGTGGAAAGTCACAAACTTCACGGATGCTTTCTCTTAGGAGACTGAATGATTTGCCACTGTTTGCACAGCTCGGAACTGTGAAGTACTTTAATTACAAAAGTGAGGTTTTAGCCAGAGTTCTGGGATGTGCTCCATAGCGGAACAGGCATTAGGGTACCCTGTTTCCAAGGAAGCTGGACCTTAGCTGGCTCTTCTGCATTAATATCTCACACGTAGAAACACAAATCATGCAGTAGAAACAAGCAGCTCTACTTAGGGGCCTGGAATCTAGGAACGTGTTTGTGGCTTTTGCCCATAGGAAGGAATTTGAGAGACAACAACCTTTTACAGTTTCTGTGCACCTCCCGCTGGAAAGTAACAAACTTCATGGATGCTTTCTCTTAGGACACTGAATGATTTGCCACTGTTTTAACAGCGCGGAATTTTGAAGTACTTTAGTTACAGAACTGACATTTTTGCAAGAGTTTTTTGTTTTGCCGTATACAGAAACAGGTATTGGAGTGCCCAGCTTCCAAAGAAGCTGGAACTTAGCTGGCTCTTCTGCATTAGTAACTCACACTTAGAAATACAAATCATGCAGTAGAAACAAGCAGCTCTCCTCAGGGCACCAGAGTCTACAAACGTGTTTGTGGCTCTTTGCCCTTAGGAATGAATGGGAGAGAGAACAACCTTCTACAGTTTCTCTGCACCTCCAACTGGAAAGTCACAAACTTCGTGGATTCTTTCTCTTAGGAGACTGAATGATTTGCCACTCTTTTTAAAGCTCGGTACTGTGAAGTACTTTAGTTACAAAAGTGATGTTTTAGCCAGAGCTTTGTGTTGCGCTGTATACAGGAACAGGCATTTGAGTTCCTTGCTTCCCAATGAAGCTGGGGCTTTGCTGCCTCTTCTGCATTAAGAGCTCACGTTTAGTGGCTTGGCCCACGAGTCGAGATGTGGGGTAATGACCTCAAGGAGGAACGGGATGAACAAGACAGGGCAAGATTCACAAGAGACGGAGACAAGGCAGGCTTTCTGATCAAGTGCCATTTATTGAGGAAGCGAACTAGGTCTAAATAGCTGTATATAGGAAGTAGTTGGATAGGACTAGTTGTGCATTGGTAGTGAAGATCCAGGACCACAGGAAGATGCCGAGGCAAGCGGTGATTGGTGCTGTAGCAGTTCTTGCCCATATAAGGGTAAATATAACAGGAGCGTTCTATCGACCCCTACATATCACCCTTTTTATTAAATACATCAAGCAGAAATCGACAGTGCCCTGCGGGGACAATGCCTGGCTTGTGTCAAATACTCCTTCACATGAGATTGAACATACCTTACCCGTCTTGGGATTGCAGGGCAGCAGTAGGCCCTGTTCCTGTCTTAGGCAGTCGGCGGTACTGCATGTGGGTCCTAGTTGCCCGTCGTTGACTACTTTTCCATCTCACCAGGGGGCCTACATCAGATTAGGCCACATTATGATAGGGTCCATTTGAGGGAACCCTCTCATGATACTCTTGATGATCTGCCATTTCCAGTTGATGTTAATGTATCTGAATGGGCTTTGTAGCAAAGGCATCTAAATGTGAGCTGATGAATGCTGTAAGATTTTGAAAATACAAGGTCCTATCATGAGCAACAGTAGAAGTGAGAAGAGGGGTCCCAACAGGGGCACAAGATAGGCGAACATTCCTCCCCATAGCGAGGAGAAGGAGTCTTCCACAAGTTCTTGTCTCTGCTTGAGTAGTTGATCCTGAAGCTCTCAGATTTTGTCTCGAACTATATCTGATTTATTAACATAAAAACAACACCTTTCCTGTAAAGCAATACATATTTCCCCATGCTCTGTTGTCAGAAGTTCCAAGCCTCTCTTATTTTGCAAGACCACTTCTGCTAGCAAATCTATCTGGTCTTGGATATCTTGGATAGTACCAGATGATGCATGAACATCATCAATCAGCTGGTTAGATAATTAATATAAGAATGTACTGCTACCGTCAACCCTGGTGAACCTGTCCCATGGCCACTGTGTATTGTTTCAAACTGGCCTTCTCTTGTGTTTTACCAATTTTACCATTACTGGGGGCACATGAATTTTCAGACCTAGGGAAAGTACTGAGTACTCTCCAGTTTGCAAGTGGAGTCACTGGCTGGGTATCTACTCATGAATCTGCACAAGCATCTATTAAAAGTTTAACAGGCTTTCCTTTTATATATATTGGCAGTTAACATGGGTTCCCTTAGAGTGAGAGGGAAGACATAAGATCACCTCAATCTGAAACTTCCTCTGACTCCATCATAAACACTTTTTTTTTCCTTCTCTAGCAGCTGTGGACATTTACCTTTCTTCCTGTGGGCTACTAGTATCAACATTCTCATTTTCCATCTATAATTCCATTCTGTATACTTTCTACTATGAAACACCTCAACTCAGACAAATTCATTCCTGTAAAACCTTCTAACTTCTGCAGCTTGGGTCAGATACCTGGGGTCCACTGCATAAGGTACAACTTTTTGGTTCCTGTAGGTTGTCTTGTCCAAGAAACATGAATATAACTTTCCTCGTGATGAGGCAGGAAACCCAGAGAAGGCTCAGATCATCTGGGCTCTATCAGGTGGACAGTTAGATTAGGCTTTAATATGTGTTTTTACAGACAAAATCTGGTGG